GTACTTCTCATTGTTGCAACAGGTCCACCTGTATCTTTAAACAACTGGTTTTTCCCCATCTCCTCCTCAAGTTATACTGACATCGAATATATGCCTTTCCAGCTTCTGGTAGACCCTGCCATCTCTTGGCTTGTGGTAGCATTGCCCTAAAATCTCTTCACATAGCTACCTTCTCTCTGTGCTTTGTGTCACCATGCCCAAGTTTCCCTCCTTTTTTCCTTTTCCTTTTCTCAAGGCAAGTACTATATCACTTGAGCCATAGCTCCACAGCCCCACAGCTCTACTTCTGGCTCTTTGGTAGTTAATTGGAGGTAAGAGTCTCACTGACTCCTGCCCCAGGGAGCTGGCTTCCAGCTGGTGTCCTTCTTTAATAAGGATCATCAGTCATTGGATTTGGCCCCATGCAAATTAGTGACTTTTAATTTGACTGTATCTAACAAGACCCTCTTTCTTGTTCATTGGTGTTGCTGGTTAGGACGTGAACACATCTTTTGGGGACACAATTCAATATACAACAGGGGTTTTGCTCCCAAAGAATTTGCCAGTTGGTTGGAAGGCAGACATGCTTGGTCTCTGGAACATTCACCTGAGTGATGGTAAATGGTGGATGGGGAGAAGTTGTGATGTATTTTACATTTCTTAGTCATTGAAGAAAGCCTGTTTCTTAAGTGCATGTGGGTTTGTACATTTTTCAGTGTCTTTTACCTTGTCAGCCAAAGTGCTGTTTGATTTTTAAAGAGATAATGCTTTATCATTCACCTTGCCTGGAACATTTTACTTCTGTGCATACATTTTTTTTTCAGAGTAAATGTTTTTGGGATGATTAAAAATACATTATACTTATTCAAAACTCCACTAGAATGGTAGTTAGCATCCTTGTAATACAAAGATGTTAAAAATGATTTGGCTTTTTATTCAAAATAGGACAGTGACAAATTTTATGCATGCATTTATTTATTTATAACGGCCTACATTCATTCTATCATTAAATCACCTTTTTTCCCCCTTTGGTCATTGGGCTCGAACTCAGAGCTTGGGCACTGTCCTGAGCATTTTTTTTTGTCAGTCATGAGCCTGAACTCTGGGCCTGGATGCTGCCCTTCAGCTCTTCAGCTAAAGGCTAGCGCTCAAACACTTGAGCCACAGTGCCACTTTTGGCTTTTTCTGCTTATGTGGTGCTCAGTAATTAAATCCAGGGCCTCATGCCTGCAAGGCAAGCGCTCTACCACTGAGCCACCTTCCCAGCCCTCCCTGAACTTTTTTGTTGAAGGTTAGTACTCTACTACCTTGATCCACAGCTCCACTTCTGATTTCCTGGTGGTTTATTGGAGCTAAGAGTCTCACAGACTTTCCTGCCTGGGCTGGCTTTGAACCACTATCTTCAGATTGCAGCCTCCTGAATTGCTAGGATTACAGGCGTGAGCCACCAGTGTGCTTGGCTCAACTTTTTTTTTTTTTTTAGTGCTGGTACTGGGACTTGAATTAAGGGTCTGCACACTGTCCCTGATCTTTTTTGCTTTAATGCACCACTGATGATCCTAGAGGGCTCTTATCTTTATGAAGGAAAAAACTGCTCTTAACTTACACTTCACAAACAAATTTTTTTTTGTTCTCCCAGTAAGGACTCATATTCTCAGTCCTTTTCAGAGTAAATTTTTAGTTCTTACCAACTCAGAGTTGGTGAATGAAAACATTCAAAAATCCTATCTTGGGGCTGGGAAGGTGGCTCAGTGGTGGAGCGCTTGCCTTGCATGCTTGCGGCCCTGGGTTCTATTCCTCAGCACCACATAAGCAGAGAAAAAAAAAGCCAGAAGTGGCGCTGTGGCTCAAGTGGTAGAGTGCTAGCCTTGAGCTGAAGAGCTGAGGGACAGTGCCCAGGCCCAGAGTTCAGGCCACACGACCAGCCTCCCCCCAAAAAAAAAATCCTATCTTGAGGCCACATTTATAAAACCAAGTTCTTATATTTATTTTGGTGGCTGCTGTGGTATATAATATAGAAGAAGCAACTGTTGTGTGATAAATGTTATGATGCAGTCAGGTTAAGAATGTTAACTTTAGGGCTGGGAAGGTGGCTCAGTGCTTGCCTTGCATACATGAGACCCTGGGTTCAATTCCTCAGTACCACATAAGCAGAAAAAGCCAGAAGTGGCACTGTGGCTCAAGTGGTAGTGCGCTAGCCTTGAGCTGAAGAGCTG